ACAAATCATAGTTATGCCTTTAAACCACTTTGGTAAGCTGGAGTGGCATGTAATAGAACTGGAATTTAACAGCTTTTGTTCCCAGAAGGAGTCGACTCATTAATTGTGCTACTTATAACAAGTGAAAGGAAATGGTGGTTGCTCAGCCCCCAAAGGCACCCGTTAGTCCTCATTTGCCACAAGACGAGGTTTCCTCAAATTCATACGGGTGCGTAATGTATTCGTTTGATCTGACGGTAGTTCAGTTTTCATCAGTTCTTCTATAGGTCTAGTTGGGTTTTCCTCTATATTATGTTAGAATATGAGTAAAGTAAGTAAATGACGAATGACAAAAAAAAAAAAAAAAACCCTAAAGGCAAAAAGGAATTAATGGTCGTCTTTTTTCTTTTTTTTTTTAAATACAAATGATAAAATTATTTAAAAAAAAAAAGGAACAAAAGGTGAAAAGGGAAAGCATGAAAAGGAGAAGCAACTTCTTGGAAAGCAAACGGCATGTGCGTATGGGAGAGATTCCTTCTGAGAATGAAAGAAGTTAAGAAAAAGATTAGAATTAGGACAACAAAGCGGTCAAAGATTTGGCGGCTGCAAAGTGTGATTAATAGTCTTAATACTTTCTATATCCAGTTTTTTTTCAACAAGTCAAAAATTAATCCTAAACAATTAGATAAGAAACGCTCAGAGATAATCGAAATCCTGGTGCAAAACACAATTTAAATTAGAGCTCACAAACTAACACCATCCAGCCAATTGATAACTGAAAGTGCGGCTGAGGACCTTAAATTCAGTGTTTGATACAACACAATCTATATCCAGTGTTTGATTACAACTCTCCTACAATTCGCCGCCTTTATCACTTGCGTAGTTAGACTTGCCTTTGACCGACCCTGAATGGAGTTCGTAATCATGCGCACCATGCCATCAACTAGTTAATGAAGTACCCAAAATTTTTAAGAGATTCTTATTACTCCATTATTTTTTTGTTTTTGAAACGAAAGTGCATGTACAATCGAAAGTGATCCTTTAATTTTTTTTTTGTCGAAACGATAGATGTCCTATAACCTAATCTAGCCTAGTCTAAGGGGAAGGGGAGGGGGTTCGATGTGAGTACAGACTCCATCGATGAAGGTCAATTAAGACCGCCACAAATCGTGGCAAATTTGTGGGAGGCAGGGATTGAACCCTGACCTCCAGCATCACCTTTAATGGTGATGACCACTGGACCAAATGGCCAGGGGCGAAAGTGATCCTTTAATTGCCTTTTGCTTTTCATGTCGTTTCACAGTGCTTGAGAAGGAGAATTTTTCTAAATAGTTTAAGCCTTTAAGGAGAAAAAGCTCCCTGTTTGAGGCCACTTTTATTTTTATTTTTGTTCTAACAGAATTTAACCAATTTATTACTGTCTATGATCATCGGTGGAAAAAAAATTAGTGCACCAAAACAATTTGAATTACTAATTAATATTCTATACACCGATTGTGTATACACTTTCATCTTTGAACAAGCATTCTTTGATGTGTATACATACACTATTATTTAGTGTATATAAGATTTATTCAAACAAATTGTTGGTTGGAAGAAATTTGTGCAGATATCCAATTTCCATTTCTGACGCATGACATTTCCAGGCATGAGTAATGAATGACACATGATCGGGACTAAGAACTCCAATTTTAAATTGGAAAATAACTGAAAAATAGAAACAAGTACCTATCTAATATCTCGATTTTTTTTTTTTTTGTAAACATTTGAGGGTAAAACATAGCAGCACCACTACTTTCTTCGTGATTATGGAGTGAACCTTGCAGCCTACCGTGTTTAAGGCTTCATCAGGAAAACTAAAAAGAAAGGTTGGCATCAAAATTAAAGCTATTCAAATGTGCTCAATTTATTTATTTTTTGTTGTCCATTCTTTATCACATAAGTTATTATTATTATGTAAAAAAGGAGGAAGCAGCTTCTGCCATATTCCCATGCTAGCAGTACCAAGACGGTATTAGAAACAAGCATTTTTGCGTCTCCGTGTGCCATCAACATCCACATCTTCTCCTCCCACTCCCACCCCTTCTTTTTCTTCTTCTAGCTTTCCTTTTTTTTTTTTATTCATGCTAGCATGTTTTAATAATTAGTAGTATTTCAATTCGGAAGATAAACGGGAAAAAAAAAAGAAGATATTGGGGGAGCCAGCAGCCGCATTAAGAAACAAAACAGTAAGCACCAACAGTGCGAACGATACAAACAAATAGTACTGGCCCAAAATAAAAAATTAAATTGAAAAATATAATTTCCTATTTATAAACTCAAAACTCAAAAGGCAATAATACGGCTTCAAATTCTCAGTTTTCAAAGTAGTCTCTGTCCCTTATTTGTACATTTGTCACGTGTCTCTAGCTTTTTGTTACTCAAGTTAGCCTTTTGATAATAATCTGTTGACAAGTTTTGTTAATCCAAACTCAAACAAAATAAAGAAGAGTTTTAGTTGATTTCTATGTTTATGATCAACAAGACGCTTTGTTAAAAAGAAAATAAAAAAAAGTTTTGAGTTATCTGTTTTAATTGATTTTGAGTAAATTTGTCAATAGATTATTATCAAAAGGCTAACTTGAGTAACAAAAGGCTAAAGATACATGGCAGATGTACAAATAAGGAACAGAGGGGACAGAGACTGCTTTGGGGACAGAGGGATTGAAGCCCAATAATGCTACATTATGAAAGAATCGAAAAATAAAACCTCAAAAAAAAAACCTCCAGATGAAAATTCTTTTATTTTTGCTAGTATTTAAAGCCAAGCCATCCACAGCCACAGAAGAATTTCCTGCCCTCTTCTTTTTAGCTCCATTCTTCATTCAATCCCTCCCCCACATTTTCACGCACCCGATCTACGCACACCCCCTCGTAACGAAGAAACAATAATGGCCGGAAGCGGTGTCGTAACGGTCTATGGCAACGGTGCAATCACCGAGACCGCAAAGAAATCCCCTTTCTCCGTCAAAGTGGGCCTTGCCCAGATGCTCCGTGGCGGCGTTATCATGGACGTTGTCACCCCCGAGCAGGCCCGCATCGCCGAAGAGGCTGGTGCATGCGCCGTCATGGCCCTCGAGCGTGTCCCCGCCGACATCCGCTCCCAGGGCGGCGTCGCCCGCATGTCCGACCCTCAGCTCATCAAAGAAATCAAGCAAGCCGTTACCATCCCCGTCATGGCCAAGGCCCGGATTGGCCATTTCGTCGAGGCCCAAATCCTCGAGGCCATCGGAATCGATTACGTCGACGAGTCGGAGGTCCTCACCCCTGCCGACGACGAAAACCACATTAATAAGCATAATTTCCGCATCCCTTTTGTCTGCGGCTGCCGCAACCTTGGGGAAGCCCTCCGCCGCATTAGGGAAGGCGCCGCCATGATTCGTACCAAAGGGGAGGCCGGCACTGGTAACATCATCGAGGCCGTCCGCCACGTCCGCTCCGTGATGGGTGATATCAGAGTCCTCCGAAACATGGATGACGATGAGGTCTTCTCGTTTGCCAAAAAAATTCAGTCCCCGTATGACTTGGTGATGCAGACCAAGCAATTGGGGAGGCTTCCGGTCGTCCACTTTGCAGCCGGAGGAGTTGCGACGCCGGCGGATGCGGCGCTGATGATGCAGCTGGGATGTGACGGGGTGTTCGTGGGCTCAGGGGTGTTCAAGAGCGGAGATCCGGCGAGGCGGGCGAGGGCGATTGTGCAGGCGGTCACGCATTATAGCGACCCGGAGGTGCTGGCGGACGTGAGCTGCGGGCTTGGCGAGGCTATGGTAGGCATTAATCTTAATGATGATAAGGTTGAGAGGTATGCGAACCGCTCAGAGTAAAATATGTGGTGAGGTGATGACCGGGAAGAAAAGACCTGATTGAATTGGATTTCTGATAGTATTAGTGATTATAGCCTGTGAGATGAGGGCTAAAGGAACCTCTTTCATGCGTAGACCAACAGTTTACTATCTGTAGTTTAGCTTCCTTTACTACCATTTGTGTTGTTAGGTTTCGATGTTTCGTATGATTGGAATTTGGAAATACGTTTTAATTGATTTTTTTTTTTAATTTCTATCTGTTTCAGCTCGTAGTAGACATATTATCCATGTTTCCCAGTATTTGATTTCCTTCTTTAGTTGTAAAACGGATATGTGATGCTCAGCCTTTATGGTAATCATACAACGAAGGTGATACGGTTTCTTCAAATGGTCATTGGGCTTGACTAACTCTTCAAGGATTGGAAGCTTATTTGCAGAGTGAGCGCCGCCTTGTTCTGTTGACTCCCTGTTTATTTCGCTTTTTTAGGTTTTGAGATGTTTTTGCACTTGTCTTCTGGGATTCTTGCCGAATAGATGTTTAATTTGTGGGTTTGGGTGGATCAGTGGGGTAGATTTTGAGTGTTGCATATTTCATGCTTTGTACTATCTGTTTCCGGATTACACATCATCTGTTTCATGTTATTTGGATGTTTTGCATGTGTTTTGGGATTCAACGCTTTTTGTTGAATGGATGTTTTGCACCACTATGAACAATTTGTGGGTCAATCATGGGTTAGTCTACATAATCATTTTGGTGACTGATGCACGATGTGTACTTGAAAACATGGCGTGTGTAAAAGTAGTATCCGTGTGAGTGAGCCCAAGACTAAATGACTATGAACAAATTTGCAAGAGTTTGTTCAATCTGTAATGAGCAAAACATATGTATCTTTTCAGACTATGAAAAATTGCTTGAGGCATGTTTGATGCGATCGATATCTGTGTTAGTGGTCGATCACATATATCAGTTTTGACAAGGTATCCTAGACGTTTTCTAATTATAAGTTGCTGCAGCATCATGGTTTAAGTCTAGATGAAACCAGATATGACAGCTAGTTGCTACTTTCACTGCTAATCAATCCATTCACTCGCCAGTTGATGGCTAATGGCCTTGCAACTGGAACTTAGAATAATGAAGCTCTTCATGTTATTAAGGAAATCTCACCTAGGGGTGCAGAGAAATCGAGTAGCTTGAATCGAGCTCGCGAGTAGCTTGGTTAGCTACTCGACTCGAGCTCGATCTAATTCGAGTTCGAGTCGATCTCGATCTACTTGCTACAGTATATCGAGTCGATCTCGAGTAGTTAGGAGTAAGAAATTCGAGCTCGTCGAGTAGCTTGAGCTCGATAGCATATATATATTGTATTTTATTTTATATATCAATTTACTCTTTCAGGTTTGTTAGCTAGAATATTTACGGGCTTAACCAGTTATGTTGTAGTAATAATGAAGGGTGAATAAGTAATTTTGGCTTGGAAAATATGATGAAATGATGAAAACTAAAAACGAAAAATGAAAAAGCTTCCGTCGAATCTCGAATCCGTCATTCCATCCTTCATAGTTCATTCTTCTTCTTCGTTCGGTCGTTCCTCTTCAGTCTTCACTCTTCAACCTTGACTCTCAAATTTCAATCTCTTATTCTTTGGCTCATCTTCTCAACTGTCACAAGCCACAACTGACAAGGCAGTCGATCATCTAAAGCTTTAAACACTTCAGCAGTTTAGCTCAAAATGGAGTAGATAGCAGCGTGAGTAGCCGACCTTTGAGTGAGGGTTTGAAATCAAATCAAAACCCACCAATTTCAACAGCTGCATTTGACAAATTAAGGTACTTATTGTGCATTTGTGTAGTAAATATGTGCATTATGAGGTTCAATTTTATAAATGTAATATTAATTTTTAATCTCCAAACCCTAACCAAAAAAATTGGGGGCTGCAGCCTGCGATTCAATATATTCCATTTGCGTATCCCATTCCCTCTCCATTGCTATACTGGAACTTTGAGGAAATGGAGGGCAGCTCGATTCCTTCAACAAGTGATTCGGTGGTTGGCGCGACAGCTTCAAGAATTGGTAAGTTTCAGAAATTTGCTTTACATCTGAGTTGGATTATTAAATGTTAACTAGTTAGTATATTAATGAGATTAATGAGAATATTCAGTTATGTTCTTAAGTAGGTCAGGAATCTGGAGAATAATTTTGATGCTAGCTTATGCAGTTTTATTTAACGCAACAAATTATTCTAGGAATTAGAAAATTTAAAGACAATCTTCAATACTGTTGGTAGTTCCTTATTGTCACCCTTTTTCTTTCTTGTTTGCCACGAAGGTTGTTCCTTTGAAATATGCCTAAAAGTGCTGTACAAGTACTAATAATATAGCCATTCTAACAGAGTGTAATGCATATGGGATTTGTTTTACTGTCGTTCAGTTTTTTTTCCCTGTTTATGTTTTATTGCCATGCTCTTGAGATGAGACTATTTAGGGAAGATTAATTATAAATGTAAATGGTGGAGGCTTGGAGAGAAACTGATTTTAGCTGGAATTAAGACAAAGATGGATTTTGAGGGTTTAGATAATGGAAATTGTCTGTTATATGCATCAAAGTTGGGTATTGTCAATTGATTAGCTTGTGTTATTTTCTTTTTGGGTATTTGTACTCAAAATGGGCAAAAAGTGCGAAAGATGCTTATTTTGCTATAGTTAAATGGCTCAATCGAACTTTCTTATGATAGGACCATTTTCGTAGATAACTTTCTTTCACGGTGAGGACTTCCCATTTTGACATTAATTTCTTTTTAAATGGACAGAAATGCCTCATTTTTCAATTCAGGGTTTGTTCCCCTTTGCTTCATGTAGATGTCATATTTGTATGGCTAGGTGTTGTAGATTGTACACCAAAGTTTGAAGATGCATAAGGAGCAAACAAGCTGTTTCATTTACCAGATTACAAACAAGAGCTTCTAAATGCTCATTAGACTCCAGAAAATTTCCCTAAATTGTTCCTTTCAATTGGTTGCACTCCTTTTTGTATTTTCATGAAATTCTGATGAGGTTGAGAACAGGTTGTTGCTTATGTATATTGCTGAAATGTTAATGTGGATCATGGCCACTTAGTTTCTGCATGCATATGGTGTTTCTTTAATCTGCCGGTCCTTTTGTTTCTCATTGGTTTCTCTTTTGCGGAATTTCTGAATTTTAGAAGCTAGAATTCTTGAATCTTGAATCCTTATTAATCTTATTGATTCCCCTGGGCATGTTGATTTCTCATCTGAGGTGACTGCTGCCCTTCGTATTACTGATGGTGCATTGGTGGTGGTTGATTGTATTGAGGGTGTGTGTGTCCAAACAGAAACTGTCATTCGACAGGCTCTGGGAGAAAGGATTCGTCCTATCTTAAGTCTTAAAATCTCAACAACATGGACAGGTGTGGACAGGTGTTTCCTGAGGGACTTCTTATGCTTTATGTATCCAAGATGATTCCAGCATCTGACAAAGGTAGATTCTTTGCTTTTGGCCGTGTGTTTTCTAGAAAAAATTGTCATTGGCATGAAGGTTAGAATCATGGGTCCCAACTATGTTCCGGGAGAGAAAAAGGACTTGTATGTTAAGAATGTCCAAAGAACAGTTATTTGGATGGGTAAGAAGCAGGAAACAGTTGAGGATGTGCCATGTGATGTGGTAACACAGTTGCTATGGTTGGTTTGGATCAATTCATCACCAAGAATGCAACCTTGACCAATGAAAAGGAAGTTGATGCTCATCCAATTAAAGCAATGAAGTTCACTGTCTCCCCTGTCGTGCATATTGCTCTGTCTCCCCTTCTAAGTCTTGTCCATGTGGCTCCAGGACTTTAATTGGCTTCTAAGTTTTGTTTCTTTGCATTGCAATTAATCTTGTTCAATTGATATTAATGTACTTTAATTCGAATGTTTAGTGCAACTTAGTTTATTGTTTAGTACAAATTAGTAGTATTGCATTTAAGATACAGAGACTAGATTCTTTAGATTATTCGAGCTCATTCGAGCTCGAGTACTCGACTTGATATCGAGCTCGAATGACATGTCGAGCTCGATCGAGTCGAGTTCGAGCCTGCATATGCTTTTCTCGAGTCGAGCTCGATCTTTATTTCTCGAGCTCGAGTCGAGCTCGAGCTCTGGTGGTCTGAGTCGAGCTCGAGCTCGAGTACGCCACTACTCGAGCTCGACTCGGCTCGATTTCACCCCTAATCTCACCTCATGTACTACTGTCAGGCCCCGTGGATGCTTCTTGTCCAGTAAGCCTTACGGCTTATGGTTTAAGCTGTAAAAGTTGAGCACGAAATTTCTCGTTTGGTTGGTCCTCGTGTCATTGATTCAATCAGTGGGATTCATAGGTCCAGTTATGTGAGATCCTGTTTGGCCACGCTGTCTTTGTAGTTCCTTGCTTCAAAATATGAAGAAAAAAAATCCCTTAATTTCCTTCACATAAATTGGCATTGGCAGTCGCATTGTGATGGCCGTAGGCCTCAGTGGCAAACATTAAACGGACTCGTATCCTACTTCTGAGGAAGCGAAAAAAGCTGTTTGTTTCTCACAAGCCTCAGCTAAGATTTAATGATGATTGAAGTTGAATAATCTGCTAGCTGCCTAACATTTTTACTGAAATATTTTGCTTGAATTGGAATCTTATCTTATCGGAACTAAACAAGTGCAATAATGGCCCGGCTTTACATAACCTGTTGCTTGTGGCGGGTTTGTCCGCAGCTTCCAAACAGACCAAGGAATGGCAGGAAAGTTGGGCCTCCATTGCCATGTCCAATTAAGGCAACGGAAGCATTTGGGCTTTGAAGACCTGAAGTACATGATCTGTGCTGTCTACTTGAGCGTTTGTTGCTTCGGGACTAATATGAGTTAGGCCCACGATATGATCGCTTTTGCAGTTGGACAAGTGTCATCCCCGGTATTCGATCATTGTGCAGCAGAATTCTGCATTGATGTGGACGCGGTGCGTACCTATTGTCTTGTTTCTTTATTAACATACCAAGCGTGTTCGTACTCGGTACTAGTACGCTTTCTAGTTTTTACTTCATGGCAATATGGCATATAGGTAAAAATAGAGTTTAATGTATTATCGCATCTTTTCTAGAGAGCAAATAAAAGAAAAAGAGGTAAATATAAAAAATATGTGTTGGCGTAAGAATCAGGGTTTGCTTGGATTGAACTAATTTCAGATAAAATAATTTATTTCACAAATTTCGATTATCTTCTTATTTTTTAATTAATATATATATAGACATCACAAAAAAGTTGTTACAGCAATTATTTCAACTAAATCATTCGAATAAACTCATATCCACCCCTTCATGGGGTAAACAAACAAAATTAGTGGTCCTCTCCTCGTACTTGCAGCAATTTGGCTTTCAACAAAATCCTCGTTTTGTTCCATCACTTTTTTGACTGTTTTGTTTGTTTGGGTTGGGTTGATGCCCAAGATGACGCTTTGACAGCCATCATCTTTTATTTTCTTTTCAATCATGTCTCCACCGATTTATGGGTCTGAAGATAATTATTCAGTTCTTTCCCTCTCTTCTTTTTTCCCCTGATAAATTTTGTTTTTAAAAAAAAATCCACAATACTTTTTGATTGCTATTTAACAAAAAATTACAATTGATCCGCAAGTAGTGAAAATCAAATTCTAACATAAATTTAAAGTACTAAATTGACAATTTATTAAAAGGCATTTAACTCTTAAAAATGATTTATAAGTCGTGATTACTACTACAATCATTCTAGAACGAACGAGTATAAGCATCAAGCATGGCAGTGGAGCCCCGTACACGTGGAATGCGTAGAAGAGTGGTACTCTTATTATTATAACTTTTGGTTTCGCACAGTAGTAGTACTACTACTTGGCATACAAGTCCGACAGCAGCAGCAGCATTCCGTGGCTTTTAATATATTATTATTTTTCCCTCTTGTTTTAATCGTCAGCTAAAAAGACCAAAGACATGGCAAAGAATTTAAACCTTAGACAAAATACCCCGCAATGACTCATCCCAGGATTAAGACTTTAATAAAGAGGATAAGGTTTGGTAAGGATTTAAAAAAAAAAAAAATGGAAGACGCAAAACCACATTATTGTACTAGTCCAATAATTTTTGGTAAGGTTCTCAAGCTGTTCATTTTGGATTGCAAAAATTTTTACAACTTTTATGAATGTAATTTTTAAAATATCCAAGGAAATATCATTCAATTCAAAATATCGAAGGACGCTTGTTCAAAAGGCTTTACCCCCCCCCACTAAACAATTAATTTATTTTCCCTACTTTTTTTTTTCTTTTGATTTTAACTTTAAGCCACAAATTTGTAATCCATGCAAGTAATTATACCGTGGTTGATTAAATTAGTAGCAGTGCTCCTCCTCCCTGAACAAAATAAGCCAACGTCAAATGCTAACAGCTCATGAGAAGATCAGCGCGGGAAGACCAAGGGTCCATCCAATCCCCAGCCCCAGTTTAAATTTTTTTTTTTTTTTTTAAAAAAAAAAAAATGTCCAGGCTCCCGGCATTGAAAAGGAATCCCAACAGGTCATATCATCTTCCCGGACAACGTACGAAAAATAAATAAATCCCCAATAAAGCTTATAGTTACTAACTCACTGTCTATCTAGTATCTACCCCATTGGAAACCGTTACCTAATCTAATTAATACTACTGTACAACAATTCATTTCCACACGTAAACACATGTGCGGAGCGATTTAGCGTGTGTAGGATAAAAAAAGATATTTACAGAAAATGTAAAAATTTTTCTGCTGAAAACTACAATCCAAACAAAAGGAATAATATGTATAAATAATGTCCAATATTCTGTTATTTGTCTTTATAAAGTTCTAAAAGAATGCATTTTTATCATTACAATACGAGCATTGCTTTAGGTATAAACGAACAAGATTTTAACTTACACAAAATTTATTATTGTAAAGATATCCTTATACCTGTGAATATTTATTTTGTTGCGGAATATAAAGTATTTGTGCAGCTTAGTTTGTTTGAATTGAGATGATTTCAAGTAAAATAATTTATTTCATAAATTTTCATTGTTTTTCTATTTTTCGAACCACATTTTCATCTCGTATAAATTGTTGTGTTATAAATAAAACTCAAAAAGAGCGTTGAACGTAAAGTCCACTCTCTATCACCCATCATCAGACTGTCCTAGTCTTCTTTTACAATTCACTCCCGGAATCCCATATTATTTGTCCATTCATTCCTGCCTTCCTTCCTTCCTTCCACAATAATTCCGCTGATCATCGAGGGAGTCTCTTGTTGTCTGTGCAATGGGGAGCTCTAGTTACAGAGTTTGCGTGTGCTTTACGCGCAAGTTCAAGGTGGCAGAGGTGCAGCCACCGTCCGACGTTAAAGAAGCTTTCAAGGAGTATGCAGAAGGAGGGACCCACATGAACGCCGAGCAACTCCGGCGCTTCTTGGTGGAGGTCCAGGGCGAGACTGAGGCCACTTTGGCCCATGCGGAGGCAGTCTTGCAGCAGATCCTCCAGAAGAGGCACCACATTACTAAGTTCACTCGCCACGCTCTCACTTCTGATGATTTCTTTCACTTCCTCTTCAGCGTTGACCTTAACCCGCCAATTCGCTACAAGGTCTGATCTCTTCATGATTCTCTGATACTACTATATATCTCATCATATCGTCCTTTTACCTTTTCCTACTTTAGGAATCCGGGTTCGCGTTTAGTTTTGACCTTAACGCAAGAATTTAGGCCTGTTTTCGAAATTTTGCAGTATAAAGTTAGGATCTTGGCCTAGAATTTTTCAGAAAAAATTGGAATAGGCAATTCCATCAATTTGATGAGGTTTTGGTGTATCTATTCCCGATACGATCTTCTGTTGTATTCAAGTTCCTGATATGGAATTATCAGTAAAGTAGTTAAAGTTCCAACCTTGGGAGCAAACTTTTTTTCGTCGGATTTAGTGCAGGTTTCCGACTGGGGAAAGGATATTGGCAATCTATGTTCTGCTAGCGACTGTTCCATCTCCTTATTTATAGGTAAAAAAAGTAAGTGGAATGCCACAAGCAAAAAGTAGAGTGTTCTTACCTGTGTGTCGCTGGCCCTCCTCTTTTGAGTCTGTAACACCTCCTATGCCATAGTTAGGGGCTCAGTTTTATTTTATTTTATTTTATTTTTCGAAGAACATCAATTAAAAATTATAGCGGAAGGGAGCATTGGCTGCTGCATTGGTTCTTTGAAACTGAGATTCAAAACCTGACGTGTTTCATTGGGAAGAGTAGCTTTACGACTACAGCTAGCCCTTACAACCACTGCATAATCACTTGTCAATTTCTTTTGTCAGGTTTCAATGATTTTACTTTGTGGATCATCCATATTGGTTACTATGGAATTTTATCCAATAAATTGTCTTGATACATCTGAAATTATAGAAGGGCATTGCCTTATTTTTAGTATTATGATATGGTGTTGACTATATTCTTATTTGAATTCAGGATTTCTGCTGCTATTGTTGAAAGATTTTCATTTTTTCATTGCAGGTTCACCATGATATGACTGCTCCTCTGTCCCATTATTTTATATTCACTGGGCATAATTCTTACTTGACTGGAAACCAACTGACCAGCGATTGCAGCGACGTCCCAATTATTGAGGCATTGAAAAAAGGCGTGCGGGTAATAGAACTTGATATATGGCCGAATTCTTCAAAGGATGATGTGCACGTTCTCCATGGAAGGTACGACCTCCTATGAGATGTTGTTGACTTGAAGCTCTATTATTTATCATACAGCACTTTGTCGGCCCTACCTCATGTAACATAGAATACACGATATGAGCCTGCCTGGAGACTGAATGTGTGCGTGGTAATCGTTTGAGTTCACTCCCTTTACTAAACTATTCATAGCTCTTTAACTTGGTGAGAGTAAACTTCAGTTTTTGGGAACTTGTTTCCTAATTAGGCAGGGAATAATCATTCTTTGGCTTTAATTATTTGTCATTCTCTTTCTCATTTGTTTCATTGTGTTTCATCACTTCTTTGAATATTTTTTTTTCAAATTAAATGTAGGACGGTTACGACGCCTGTGGAACTCATAAGATGTTTAAAGTCAATAAAAGAGCATGCATTCTCAGCTTCTCCATACCCTGTTGTAATAACACTTGAAGATCACCTTCCAGCTAACCTTCAAGCCAAAGTTGCTCAGGTGAATATCCTGTTTGGTCAATTCATATCATGCGTTTTTTGATGTGAGAAGTCATTTTAATCTTTTCATTTTTCATATAGATGCTTACTGAAACATTTGGAGAAATACTCTTCTGTCCTGAATCAGAATCCTTAAAAGAATTTCCTTCACCAGAAGATTTGAAATATCGTGTTATTATTTCAACTAAACCTCCAAAAGAGTACCTTGAAGCTAAAAGGCTTGCTGACAAACAAAATTCACAAAAAGAAAGGGAGTCTGATGATGATGGATGGGGAAAAGAGCCTTCAAGCACTGACGCTGCAGCTGACGAAGAAGATGATGACAAGGTTGGTTGGAACATGGAAGTCTTTGGTCTTGAATTTGGTTTCATCTAAAGGCTAGCAGCTCAAGTGTTTTGAGATTTCTCATATCCCATTGCAGATTGACAATGGTGGGAGTGATCGTAACCAGGACGATGAAGATGATGACGACTCTGATGACAAACCACACCAAGCACCAGTTTACAAGAGTCTAATTGCTATTCATGCTGGCAAACCCAAAGGTGGATTAGTGGAGGCACTGAGGGTAGAACCAGATAAAGTGAGACGGTTGAGTTTGAGTGAACAGGCTCTTGAAAAGGCTGCCGAATCTCATGGAATGGATGTTGTGAGGTATAGGTCGACATCCTTAGTGCATAAGTGCTGGGCTTAATGTTTGTAATTTGTTGACATGACCATCTGTTACATATTTGCATTCTGATAGTTGCTTTATACTTTAATAGGTTCACCCAGAAAAATATTCTTAGGGTTTACCCTAAAGGTATGCGAGTTACCTCCTCCAATTACAAACCACTTCTTAGCTGGATGCACGGAGCTCAGATGGTTGCATTTAACATGCAGGTCTTTGAAACACCTTATATTCATAGTCATATTCATATTCATTGTAGCTTAAGTTATTTGTTTGTTTGCCCTCGCTGCATGTTACTCATCTTTTGAAATCAACCCGAGCTATTCTTGAATCTTGTGTATGACAAAAGGATAATTATAGTGACTTGAATTATTTAAAGTTTTCATGCAAAAAGTGATGCTGGCACAATTTTATTTACACAGGAATTACGTAAACGTTGCAAATCATGAAAGTAATATATAGAAAAGCAATCTTTAGTTCATATCTATTACAGGTTGGTTGAAGTTGCCTTCTCATTCTGGATAATGATTTTAGTTTTGCATTGACTTGCCCTTAAAAGCAATGACTTGAGGTTGCTTGTTTAATTCCTACACACAGATATTCTAGAACATGTACGACAGGAACAGGCACACATTTTGATAGGCATGATTAAGCATGCAGAGATGCATTGAAGTTAGAATGACTAATATATGCATTGAAGTTGGAATGACTAATATATGCTGATCCAGGGCTATGGTCGATCACTTTGGTTGATGCAAGGGATGTTCAAAGCGAATGGAGGGTGTGGCTACGTTAAAAAGCCCGATTTCTTGATGAAAATTGGTCCAAATGGTCAGGTGTTTTATCCTAAAGAAAAGCAGCCTGTGAAGACAACTTTGAAGGTGGGGAAGATGCAAAAGCTGAAGAAGTTGTTCAATTGTTAGAAAAAGATTGTCTGTTACTAACTAATGTTTGTTTTCACAGGTTAAGGTCTACATGGGAGATGGATGGCATCTGGATTTTAAGCAAACTCACTTTGATATGTATTCTCCACCTGATTTCTACACTAGGGTAAGTTGTTTGTCTCCTTTTTATATGCACTTACTTTTAAGACACACAATTCATATAAGTCCCAAGTCTTGTATCATTTGGACAAGTCTTTACTCTCTCCAGAGAATGGCAAAATTTGCTAGTTATGACAATTATTGAAGAATACTTACAGAAAGTTGACATTCTCATAAAATGCTGGTGCTAAGAAGAGTTATCAGTGAAGAGTCTTCTTTTTCCATGTGGCCTTTCCATATGCTCGATTTTTTTAGGTATATTTCTGGGAGACTAACAAGTTGATCATCAACCACTTGGAAAAAAACTGCCCATGTAAAATTTTCCTCTGCAGAAAAAGCACATGGAACAAGTTGTAAATTTTTCCTCTGCAGAAAAAGCAATATGTCAGAGTATATTTATGTCCTTTTTTGGTTGTTTAATAAAATCAGGTTGGCATAGCTGGAGTGCCAGCTGATGTTGTCATGAAGAAAACCAAGAAAAAGGAGGATAACTGGACACCAATTTGGGAAGAAGAATTTACCTTCCCATTGACTGTTCCCGAGCTAGCTCTGTTGCGAATTGAAGTGCACGAGTATGACATGTCTGAGAAGGATGATTTTGCCGGCCAAACATGTCTACCTGTCTCTGAATTAAAGCCTGGGATACATGCAATTCCTCTATGTGATCACAAAGGAGAGAAGTACAACTCTGTGAGGCTTTTGATGCGCTTTGAGTTTGTAGAATGTTAAATTTTCTTTTTTCCCCCTTGGTGTCTGACGTTATCGCGTGATATAGCCTTTTTTGTTTTCATCTTTGTGAGCTGTTTCTGGATTAGAGTTCTTTTGTTTCTGTGTTTGCATGTAGTTATTTTAGGTATCAAGTGTTAAGTGCTGTATCTGTGTTTATGGCGGCTTGTACATAGGCTCGTAGAAAAATGGTTCTGTTCTGTATTGATAACGATAACTTAATAATGCATTGATTGTAATCTTTGAGTACGATTTTTGTCAGATGTTTCTGCAAAGTGATTATTTTTATTTCAATCTGTGTCTAAAGGCTTGTACTATTGTACGAGGTCAAGTAAACACAGCTTCTTCTAGCAGCTGATTTCCTGTAGAATCATTAAGATGCTATCTGCTGGAATCTTTGGTCAAATTTTGACCAGGCCCCGTAGACATCGTATGCTTCATCTCACGCTGAGCCAGTATCCATGTCTGGCCAAATACCCGAAAGCCCAAAAATGTGGATTAGTCACTTTTTTTTTTTTCCGCTTTTGGGTCAGAGATAATGATGATAAACTCTCTTGCATCTTTGCTTTACTAAACGCGTAAGATAATCCACGAAAGCCAACATAACATGGTGAGGGAAAAGAATTGCCTCATCAAATTGCAAAGAAGCGGGATCTGGACTTAACGATGGTTTAAGAAAATATTACTTTATACGAAGAACAGAAAATTCACTTCATGAGGATTTGAAGTAGAACATTTCTTGGGGATCACTGCAATTTCAAGCTGGAGATGCAATCACCATAGCTGAACTGTCATCGCAAAGAGCAAGTGCCCTCTCCAATTTAGCCACAACATCACTCACTGTTGGTCTATCTTTACCCTGTAAGCTTATGCAATGCAAAGCTGTGCAAGCCACAACCTCAACCGCCTCAATCTCGTTCATTTCTGGCAGTCCCACTCGCTTGTCCAGGATCTTTTCCAGTTCTCCTGCTACTATCCATGGCCTTGCATATTCAACAACTCCCATAGGGCCAGCGCCTTCATTCGTGAATACTGCTTTTTTCCCTGTCAAAAGTTCTAATAACACCACCCCAAATCCATATACATCACTCTTTACGGTAAGAATATTGAGCACGTAGCACTCGGGATCAATGTAGCCAACGGTACCAACCGCTTTCATATACATGGGCTCGTCTTCAGACTCTGGCCACATTAACGATAACCCGAAATCAGACACTCTTGCTGTCCAATTTCCATCAAGAAGTATGTTTGAGGACTTGATGTCCCTGTGAATTATCGGTGGAATGGAATAGTTGTGCAGATACTCAATTCCCCTTGCAGCATCTAGTGCAATTCTGATCCTCATTCTCCAAGAATTTAGCATGCTGCTATCCTTGTTTCTTTGGCCATGCAGGTGATCATGCAGTGATCCATTTCTCATGTACTCATAAACTAAAAGTCTCTCATCATTTTCTTGGCAAAAACCCACAAGTCCAACTAAATGCTTGTGGTTGAGGCATGATAACAAAGCTATTTCGGAGAGAAATGAGCTCTCTTTCTCCTGAAACTTCTTTGTTTTGGAACTGCACTCTGCTCTCTTAATAGCCACTTCACGACCATCAGCAAGCTTGCCTTTGTAAACTCTGCCAAAGCTACCACCACCAATCTTGTTTTCTTGTGCAAAATTACTGGTATTAGCTGCAAGCTCTGACAGGGTAAAGTTCTCCGTTCTCTCAGTCTGCCTTGATGAAGTACCACTCCTCTGACCCCTTAAAACCCAAGAATTGTTGCGCTTGATGGATGATGATCCTGATGGAGGAAGAATGGAAGCAGCTAAATAGTCTTCCAGATTTGATCTAGCACTAGTGGGTTGCAGAACCACGGGTTTATAGACATTCTTATGTCCATTCCCACATAATCCAGCACAGAAACAGTAGGCAATGGTACAAATGCCGGCAAAAGCCCCGATACAGCCCACAACCCCAAATGCCAAGAAGAGCCTGTTCTTAGTCCTTGAAGGGGAAGATGCTAGCTCTGGAACTTGTGATCCGGGGGTTGATGGCATTAGTGGAGGTAGATTCACTGGAATTGGGAGCTCAACTTCACACACTTTGCATATGCTCCCCGAACCAGCACAAAGACTGCCTGAATTTGGGTACACCCCACAAACACTACATGACATTTGCATACAAGGTCCAGGAAGTACTGGTTCCAGTAAAACCACATCTCCTGCAGTAAGGTTTCTAGACCATCCTGGCCCCCAACAGATAATGGATAAATCCTTGGTTGTCAATCCACATGTAAAATCCAATCCGGCAACTATGTTTTCGAAAGACACTTCATCTACTACATTACTGGAAAACTCCAATTTTCTTGAACCTCCTCCCCAACAAACAACCAAACCATTCTTCTTACTAATTCCACAGCTATGATTCGCTCCCAAAGCCAGACTCGAAAATTCGAAAGCATAATGAGAAGGAACATTGAGTTGTCCACCAATGTTACTACCTTTGCAAATCAAAGTTCCAGCTTTAGTCACTCCACATGCATGAGACTCACCTGCAATTAAGTTGAGCATTGGCAAGCTTTTAAACTGTATTTCAATCTCTGCTCCAATTTCACTACGACCCCAACAGTGGACTCTACCAGCGTTCTTTAATATTCCACAAGAGAATCCTTCACCTGAAGTTATTGCCCGGAATTTCGTTCCCTCCTCGGATGATGGAAACCGCCAGCATAAGGCCGCACCTGTGGTGAACTGAAGTGCACAGACCTGATAGTTTCCGACAGATAAGCCCTTTAAACGGTTATCCTTGCTATAGTAAATTCTTTTGGCTCGAAAGCTCATTGTGTCCCAGCATATGATGCTCAACCCGCCGGACTGTAGGCCACAGAAATAGCCCAGACCTCCAGATATGGATTTGTAGGAAATTTCTGGTTGGATTGAAATGGTTTGGCAATTCTTGTAGCAAGGGATTCTGTGTAAGCTTACTGGCAATGATGCCGCAGACTGTGTTTGTGGAGCCAGACGTGTAGCTGACTGCAATGGTGGAGCCTGAACCAAGGCTGGTAACTCCATGTTGACAACAGGTGGTAAGAATGATTATGATGAGGAGGGTGATGGTGGTGGAGGGAAAAGCTGGGGAATTCATGTCAGCAGATGAATGTGCACTTCGAGATAATTGTCTCTCCTGTCGTTCTTCATTGTGAAAGAGAAGAGATAGAAAGATTGGTTGGGATGATAGAAGTGAAAGCTAGATGGGTAATACTACGTGGAAGTATTGAAAGGGAATAAGATGAAAGACACAGGTCAGGTTGGAGGGATGGTGGTCCCCTGAAAGTGGGGATGATTTTATCTGCAGACGAGAATTCTGCACCTAATTAAGTTTCATTCTTTCAGTTGTTGAAATTTTCGATTGGAGTTACCCTAAATGGGACAAGTGAAGATAGCATACACACAAGGGATGTGGAAGGTGGCTTGCCAAAGCTGAAGAATGTCTTTTGTATCCCAGCCAGCAAATCCCACTTGATCACTGCCTCACCCTAATTCAGGGCCTATGCTAATCATAGTTTTAAGGACATAAGTTTTGGATCTTCTTTGTTGCTTCAGTTTCCCCTAGGTGGGTGGCTGCAACTTGCAACCCTGACTTTTCTGGTACCCGGATCCCCTGTTGGTGGTGAGGCCATATAGCTCAACATAAACGGTAAACAAGTTAGTAACTGATGCTTGTACCTCTCACAAATCAGAATTTCGTACTTTTTAGAGTCTGGATCCAATTGGGTCAACTAACAGACCAGAACCTCTCTTGGACTTAAAGCATCCAGGTTGGAGGGACTGAAAGAGAAAATCGCTGTACGTGAATGAGCATAGTCCATCATCACCGGAGTTATTCTTCAAATCCCATGAGAACATTGAAATGGGAGAAGAGTGACCAAAGACGAAAGAAGCTGAAATATTTTGTTATAAAATTCCAAACAGTAATCATTTCCTTGTGCAATATCACATTCATCAACGATGCCCGGTCCCTTAAAAGAAGAGCAAATTCCAAATACAAGCTTGCTTGCTCGCTCAAGGATGAACAAAATGGAAAACCATACTTAAATTAGGACTACAAGCACGTATACTTGTTAAGGATAAAAAATTATCAGACTTCTAACAGAGTAGAACCAATTTTATTTTATTTTTGGGAGGGGGGGTGGTGCTCAATATGGGCACCCTCATGTCTAAAAGCACCAATTGTGGACACTACCAGCAGCATTAATTCAAACAAGGCAAAAATACAACAAACAACTCAGGCTTCTACAGGATCTTCAGAGCCTTTCATGTCAACAAAACTGTGAGGATTGTAAGTCTGGAATTCATAGTCTTCATCACGGTTCTCCATCGTTTTTCCAAATACAAATTGTTTGGTCCCCATCGTGGTGAAAGGCATTAAACCAAAAGCTCGAGCAGTCTTGATTGCTCTAGCAACCTTTCTCTGGGCCTTGGCACTAATTCGAGTCTAAAACAAGAAGAAAAATGCTGTCAAATCCAGTCCCTCTATTTTAGCTTCAACTGCATTTAAACACTGTTAAGTTTACCTGGCTCCTCTTGATGATGAGTCCACCCTCAGTGATAAAGTTGGCAAGAAATCTCACATTCTGGGGTGAGAATTAAAACATAATCAGTACACAGCAAACTGCTGCAGATTAAAGCATTAAAGCGTTAAAGCAGAAATACTCGTTTAAGCAGGCATGGCATCTTAAAGCCTTTGCAATTAGCTTAGACTGATGACCAGCATGCACAGAAAGAGTCCAGAAAAGAAGTTTCCTACACGATCTGTATGCTAATACCCATACTTGCCTCTTTATGCGATAAAAGCTCAATGCTTCTTGGTGCATATAATCCACTTTTTCATGAAGTGACATGTTTGCTAGTGTATCATGGACAGCACACTCATTAAATCTCTGCTTTTTGACTCGTATTTCTACTTACAGAATGGACTAGAATTTGTTAAAATGATGTACTAACATTTTCCACTGCCTAGAAGTAGTCAAAATAAGCAAGAGAAAATCATTTTCATACAATCAAAAGAAATACTGTAATGCCCATAGTTCTTACAAATTTGCAAACTGTCCAAGATTACTTTCCATTTCATCGAAAAACATTGTAAAACCCTTGCCCATGCATTTAGTGTGCCAAAACTCCTATTAGCTATAAATGGAAGGAATTTGTAGTAAGGTGTGGAGAAGAATTGATGCCTCGCTTGAACACTTGCATAAAATTGGCCAAACAATCATAGTCATCAATGCCATTGATTTAATTTAATTACACATCCCTTTTGCGATTTGATTATGTATACAGGTTTTATAGTAGGTCCAACACAATGAGACCAAAGCATCCAATCTTCAATTATATAGGTAGCTAAACATAGAGAAAAAAAACTGCAGGAAGATAACACTTCCAAAGCTAGGAACTCTCTTAAAAATATGACGAACTCTCTTTGGAGGCAAGACAACAAAAGAAAAGCTATCAGCATTCCACCAAACGAATTATCATTGATGATCTTGAATGCAAAACAGCCATGACTTAATTGTGCAAAACTGTAAAAGTAAAAGAATTAATAAACTGGTATTGGGTATATCTTAGGTGCTCAAGATATGAGCCTGAGTTTATATGAGCATGCATTTCAACAAACATATTGATGCAGATCAAAGAATACGCACCCTGAAATCTGCTTTTTGCAGAACTTCTGCTGTTGTAGTTTCAAACTCATCCCACTTGAAAGGTTTTTGCACACCTGGTTTTCTGAGATCAAGATCCTGCAGAGGTCATGTATGAATAATATAAGCGTCTCACTTGAAGAAAGAAAGAGCTCAAAATAATAAGAATGACAATAGCATCAACAGACACCATCTAAGAATTATACAAGATTGTACAGATTGTCTGCAGATGTAGAGTTAGCTCAAGGAAATACTATGACAGGAGATAAAATTAGGCTGCAAACTACAAAGTTGGCATAAGAAATAGAATTCAATCTCTACTCTTAAGTGTTTCATTAGATTCGCTGAAACAGTGGGTTCAAATATATTAGCAACTGGAATATAGTCCCAAAGAGAATTAGACAGATTTACGTGGTTTATTAAGATACTAAACACAAGAACATAATATACCAAGCTAAGAAAACAGCAACATCAGAAAATAGGCAGTTAATCTTCTTGCAATTTCATTTTGAGTTTTCTGATTAGTTTCCAAGTACACCTGCTTAAAATCAAAACAATTATCAAATGCACATTGCTAAATGCTAAAAAATCTCATCTTGAATCGTCAACTTGCAGGTCCTACATGTTTAAAATTTTTTTTATTCTACACTCATTTAATGACAGAAACAGATTTATGCCCAACTATTTGTTTTAGAAGAGTAGTCCATTTAGATTGTTATGGATGAAAATGCAATGCCATCTACAAGCGCTTAAACTTTCAATATTACCTTTCTGTTTAGGAAGTCAGCTATTCCACTTGTAAATCTTAGCAACTAAATTAGGCTCCAACATGCAAGTCGAAGTCTGTGAGGTACCTAAAGATCCATTTTAACAGAAAATGATGCTTTTATTGGGTGGACACAACTAAAACAACATTAAAATGGAAATTGAAAGTTCAGGTCACATGCAAATCAATAAATTGCACAACATGCAAATCTAGCCCAACTAGCTAGACTAACAAAATGCAGATCTTGACGCAAACAAGTTAAAAAAGGCAAAAAAAGAACTGGGCCTTGAATTCTATTTGCAATTCAGAAACACCACAACGCAACAGTAAAGCGTGAAATTGTGAAAGAGCATAATATCAAAACTCTATAGCAAGTTACAGTTCTTACAATATCAGCAAGCACTAGTACGATTAGAGAAGCATTAGTTCAAATACATATCTTTTGCAGATGGTACCAGAACAGCAATACTAAGCTGAGATAAGTATTAGATTAGGGTAAGTACTTCGTGTCATAAGTCATTCCCAAGTCAAGCACTGGGCCTTGTATTCTAGATGCAGAAACACCACAAGACAACACTAAAACACAATATAGTAAAAGAGCATAATATCAAAACCCTGTAGCAAGGCACAGCTCTTACAGATACCAGAAGGCAATAGTAAGAATAGAGAAGCATTAGTTCAAAGGCATATCTATTGCATATGGTGCCAGAACAGCAGTACTAAGATGAGAGAAGCTTTAGATCAGGGAAAGTACTTTAATATCGTATGTCATTCCCAACTGATGGTCCACATCTGGTCTGAAGGAATAATCTTCGCTCTCCAATTCATCAGAATCAACGTCGAAATATTTAGCAGCTTCCCCCAACTTCTCATCCATCCCATCTGACAGTGTGTTAAAAGTTTCATCCAGACGGTCAAAATTTCCAGATCTGTTTCCAGGGCTCAGTCCCGATCTGTCATAAGCCTTCTCAATCCTATCTAATTTTTGAAAAAATGATCTAGAATCTCCCTCGTCTCCAGTAATATCGCTAAAAATCCGACGCTCAAAATCATCAAGAGATTCAAAAGAGTTAAAGTTGTTCTCATTACGAGTACCTGTATTGACACCCAAAAAAAAAAATGAAGAAACACAACAATAGAACAATGGAGAAACTCAAACAGAGGCTGTGTCAAAAGAAACCAAGAAAAACAAATTAATGTTTATGGAACCAGAGCCAGGAACTGATAATTACAGATATGTAAAAGCCTATTCAGCAATTTATGGTTTTCACTATCTCTGCTAAACTCCAGGGTTGCCAATTGTCTAAAGACCCATTCTTCTTTCCATAAAATACCCTGAAGAAACCTTATGATTAATTAAACGTATCCCATCTCAAGTTCCCGATATTCTCTAAGAATTCTCTCATTTTTCAACAATGCTATTGACGTTTTCTTTAAAATATACCCGTATCATTAATTAAAAGGAAAAAAAAACTCAGATTATTCAAAATTGCGCATATTATAAAAACACGCAAACAAACTCAGACTTTGTACTCTCAAATTAGTGTACACATTACAAGACATGATACTCTACGATACAACTGTATAAATCAAATTTAAGGCGAATATTTATCCACGCAATGACCACCAAAATCAGAATAAAGCTTTTTAGTTTTTACCATTACTTACACCAATATTCGTCCTGTTCAAGCCCAGACTAGAAGGATGCAGAACAACACACCATCTAGAACTACGTACTTCCCTCATAAACCAGAGCGCATTCAAATAAAACAACTTTAGTTCATCGTGAAAAAAGGAAAATGTTCCGCAACAAGTTAGCATTTTTCTGTTAAACACAGATAAATATGGTCAAAGCATCAACCAAACACTCAAAAACTATTAAACCAACCAATAAACCTTTCTAGACTAAAACGAAATATTCTCAGAAATGCTAACAAACGAACATACAAAGAAATACATACCAGGAAACCGACTAAAAGTAGAGAAACTTCTGAATACTTGAGACAGTTGAATGTTTGCAGACTGCAAAACCCTCGTTATCAGTCTCATCTCTCACCTGAATTTGATAACACTAAAGATTTAGGGAAAAAAAATTTTCAAAACAACCCATGTCAAATAGAAAAATATTTCAAAGAATAAAAACTAAAAGAAACCCGGATAGTTTTCTATTCGAATAAATTGAGAGACAAAGAGAAAAATAACGAGGAGGACCTTTCGCCTTCGATGGTTAAGTTCAGCAGAACTGCAGATGGAAGCACCAGGAACGCTCAAGACTCGAGAGTGTGATTTTAATGCATGAGTAGGTGTATTACTCATTAGTGGGCTATTTTGGTGAAGCCCAACGTTGACGGTATGATGTATTTGTATTCGGGCTGGATTTGTGTACCATGTTGGGCCTGTATTGACCTTTAATGTGTAACTCTTAAAATTCATTGCGCCTGACTAAATGTTTATGCTGATTGCTGAGAGGAGTAGTGCATGTGTGTGTGTGTGTGTCTGTGAGTCTATATATGATAAAAGTTATATTAATCATCCATATTCTAATTGAAGAGAATTAACTGATTATTTGGATGCTTGGATTTTATTTATATTTGTATTCAACTCCTTTATAATTAGTTTTTCTTACAATTTCTCTCTTCAAACAGTTTTATCTTTTTAAATAAATTTGAGTAATTTGTTATTATGTTCCACTCTATTCTAACAATATCATCTCTTTTGATAAATTTGTATAATTTTTCTATCCATATGGATTAACTTAGTGTAAAAAAAAAAAACTTGAATTTTTACACTGATAGATTTATCAATACTGTTAGAAGCTGAATATTTGTTAATAAAGAAAATAAATTGCTGGATCTTTGGTGCTTAATCAAATATGTCATTCTAGGTTTATGCTCATTTTAAAAATTTTAATTTTTTAAAAGGATATCTATCAATATTTTTGACATGCATTACAATATTTGATGAATAATGCTATATTATAGTGAGATTATGTAAAGAGGTTTTTAAAAATTACTATGATAGTTAAACATTTAGATAAATCAATTTTCTAAAATTAATATGAATAAACACATGGGATTGTTGTTAATTTTTTATTTAAATTATTCATGCTTATAAAAATTAAAAATACAAGTGAAATATTATAAAGCATGAAGTTTTACTCTTATCCTCTCGTTTCGTAAGCTAGGATGATTTGCTGTTTGTTTTCTAGGGATTGATATTAGACACAAATTCTTTGGAATTCAGAGGAAACTGCATGTGTTCTTCGAAAGTGTTGTGTACTCCAATGACTATGAGATATATGGATCAATCATTTTAGTCGTATGTCAAGAGAAGATTAAAAAATAAAAGTATAAATTGAATAATTCCATCACATCCACGAGTAAAAATATAAGTTATTTCATTTTAAAGTTTTTTTTTATAAAACAAGAACTTTATTATTGATGATTTCATTTTAAAGTTAATATTATATGCACTGATAATATACACTATCATGATGATTAAATGAATTACACCTACACAAAATTTAGATTTTAAAATCAAATTGAGATTACACCATTCATCTACCCCTCTAACTTTGACTGTTGATTGAAAAACACAGAAGTTAAGTTCTTGAGATCGAAACAACAACATATTACTAGCAATTACTAATAGATATCCCAAGTATAGCCAATGGTCTTTTGCCTTTGCTCCAAAACCATACAAGGCACCTTGTGATTCATGAGCCAATCAGCAATGCTTTGGTGTCGAGTCATCCTCGCTGTTTGGCTAATCGCAAAATTTCCACTAATCGGTTAGTCTTCAATTTATCGCTTTTTTGTCAACTATGGTTGTCACTTACCTGTTAGGACTTGAAAGGTTGAACAGTCGGGAACATATGTTTCAAGTTCATTATCAAATATTAGGTAAAATTTTTTTAGAAAAAAAAAAAAAAAAAACTAGTTTGGAATTAATTTCTAAAATCTGATAACTGAATAACGGGATAGTCAGCCCAATGAATTTCTTAACACTAAATCATCATGCAACTATCTGTCAATAACTAACCGAATATTAGGAGTAGTGCAGCGCTTATATTAGTGTTGAGGATGGAGTCAATACCCAATATACTTAAGTAATTTATTATTCTTTGTTTTTTATTTTCTTTAAAACCAATATTTAACTTACTGAGTATGTTTGTATAGGAGAATATTTGAAATATTATTTAAAATAATTATTGTGGCGCTTTTTATAAGATGATGTAAATGAAATAAAAAGGTAATTGAGAATATAAAAAAATTTTGATTAGAGAGCGTGTCTGTTTGTTTGTGATGCATGCAAATAATTTTTTTATAAATAATGTTAATCCAAATACATCATGGCATATATATTATCAGTGTACAAAAGATTAATTCTTTATATTATTTCCTTTCATGAACTCCCGTTCATATTAATCTAACAACACAACAGTGGGTCGGGTAGTGTGTTGGGTAGTATAGTTGGGAAATGCCAGTCATTTGCATCGTGAAAAAACAAAAAACATTTCCCAATTCTTATAACTATAAGTTTATTGAAATTTATCTATTTACTATAACACTTTTCATACTATGATATATAAGCCCAATAAAATCAGTTAGGGAAACAAAAAATAATAATTTTTTGAAAAATAATAATACGATGCGTCACTTTAAAAAGTTTAGAGGCTTAAATCATGGACTAAAGAGCAAAACATTTCATACAATTCCGGCATCTATACGAAAGTATTATAATTTAGTATGAATGAGATGCTCTTATATCCTAATTAATTACCACCGGGAAACATGATAATCTAATAACAACTGCGGGAAAAAAAATAGAAAACTCCACGCACATTTTTATTTGATTCTTGATCGATCACGGGGGGGGGGGCACTTTCATTTGATTTTCTTCTTCAGGGATTTGTGGCGTGGGCGGCGGGAAGGAAAGGCTCTACGACCACAAAAACACCGCTGAGTAATAAGACAACTTGTCTAAATTGATGGAAGCTTGAAAACGGTATCCGTCTTTGTACCCCATTTAACCAGCATCCATCTTATCCTGATGACAAACATTTCAATCAACTACAGTGACCAAGAATATCATAAATATAACAGGAAAGTATTGTGTATTTATTAGGCATTGATGAGTTCTGATTTGGTGCAGCGCCTGTTAGTTTTTACATTAGCCTTTTACGCCTAGGTTTGGAAACAATTGACTTTTTAGTGCTGGATCAAACATCAGGCTAAAGTCTTTACTCTTCAGCCTTTTTAATTTCTACATCATACAAGAATAAAACAAGAGGTTCTAGCTAGTGGGGAAGAATCTTGCGAGTCTAGGCCGCTGGGGGAGTAGTAGATCTATCATCTATCACCTATGTATTTTGGTGATGAAGTGAATGAAGTTGCATGATAGGTCCCTCCACAAACCGACCAGCCATTATTCTCCCTTCACAAGCAATAGTCATGTCTTTTCTCTCCCTTTTATCATATGCAGAATTGCAAAATCTCTTTCTTACTATTAAAATCTGCTTTTGGCAAAGCAAAGCCGTCACATCATGAATTCCATTAATTGGAGTGATCTTATGATTCTTATCAACACCCAACTATGTATGGTGTGCGTTCTAAGTCCTCAATACACGTTGACGTTACCACCATTCTTGCATATTTTTCCCTTAAAAACTCCACACCTATGCCCTATCGGTTTGCCCAATTTTATGAGCTGCAAAAAGTGATTGAAAAAGTGCAAGATAATACAGATATGAAAATAGCTGAAAAAAACAAAAGATAGATCATCCTTTACTTTATTTTTATCGTATAAAATACTCCTACCGTACTATCATATTATTTATTTTTCACCAAATTTATGCAGCTTTAAGATTCAGGAATAAAGAGTGAAACCATATGCGCACGCTGTTGGTTCTGTGGCTTATCAAATTAAAGCGAAAACTCCAAGAACTATAGGAAATAAAGCTCACAACAAAATGAGGAAAGGCAGCCAACGCATCATCCCTTCATTGCTACCATACGTGTCCTTTTTCCTTTTCAATTGGCCGTTGCTTCATTTGCTTTCGCCTTTTCTCGATAAGAAATTTGGAAAGTGACAAATTTGATATAAAATACAAATGAATACGCATGACATACACGAGTACTCCTCAGGACTTTATTTTCATTATTATTTTTTTTTACAGGGAAACACGAACAGGAAAAAAAAAAAAAAAGCGATATATTGATCTCGATGATTTTTTTTTTACTTTTAGCTTTAGGGAGAATGTGATTAGATCTCGTAGTATATGCACGCAGCAAATGTGATTAGATTCGAGTGGACAAGATTACTTGTTGGACCTGGATCACCAGTGCACTGAAGTGAAATGGTTGACGTCGATATTATGCATAGAGATACGACCTGGCCAGATAATAGCAGAAACCCAGCCATTGGCAATTTGGCATGAACCTCTGTAGGCTTATTGGTGGGTGGGCCTGTCGCCTGACACCAACCAAATGTATCACACAGTTGTCAAGGTCTTTTTTTAGTGGAAGACTAGATGATGAACCTCCCTCCCGACTCATTATTATCACCCAAAGGATATTTCCATTTTAGAATGTTCGCAACTACCAATGGTAGAAACACATTTATTAATTGGGTTTCTCTATATGACGACGGATGCTTAATAAGCACTACGTCTAAAATTTATTTAACATATCATATATATATATATATATGTTAATAACTATCATATATTCTTACATTCATATATTTTTTTATTTAATATTATGTATTCATTCTTATATTTATTTACTTTTTCTAATTAATCTTACATTTCAAAAAATATGACACCTAAAATACATTTTAACGAGTGCTCAATACACACCCGTTAAAAAGACCCTTGTTAATTCTAGAGGACATTTTAATTTGACTGGGAATCTAGATTCATAAAAAAATGCAGAGTAACACACGTCACATTTAATTTAAATAAATTATCTTTTATAGCGGAGTTATCGGTTGTATAATTAAGTTTACCAACGAATGAATCTAGGTCCAGTGGAGCAAATGATTTACGTGCTCAAATTGAAAAAGAAACTGCCATTTAAGTCAATGGATCTCGAGCATTAACACATTTCTTTTTGTTTGTGCCTTTTCCTGTGTTTTGACAATAAATGGGGCGTCTTGATTATGTTTTCCTTCGCAAATTTGTCGAAAATATTCCCAAAGATCGTGACGGACGTGGTAGGTCTATGCTTGCATTCATGCCTTTTAGTGCATTTATCATATGCGGAGTCTGGCCAGTTGGGGTGGCAAGTGG